GGGGATGAGGCCTGGCTTCTGGAGGGGTCCTGAGCCTGGAAAGCTTCCCCTCGGTGAAGGCGCCCGCCCTGAGGAGAGGGCTTGACCTGCTTGAGAGCAGGGTGTCGAGGTGGGAGCTGTGACTGATTCTGAGGCAGTTGGGGGAACTGCTGTTGGTAGTGGTACTAAGAAATGTGGTGTAGTAGTTGCTGCTGATGGAGTTGGTGTTGCTGAAACTGTTGCATTTGGGCTTGCATGGCCCGCATGCATTGCATCAAGTCATCAAGCTGGTTCTGGCTGGTCGCCAGAGGGACAACGGTCGGTTCGACGAAGGTTGTCTCAATAGAGGGGGGAAGGGGAACATTCACAGGCGCCACTATTCGTGGCGCATTGAGGCTAGGGATTCCGTCTGCCAAGAGGGGGATGGTGAACTGCCCGATGCACACAGTGGCGGGCTGAGGGTGTTCCTCTACAGCATTCAGGTCGGCGTTATGTCTGTCACTGCCAGAGGAAGCCATGAATGCTAAGTTTTCTTTGGAAGAGAGTTAAAGGTTAGGGGAGGCTTTTTGAAGTCTTCCCACAGACAACGCCAAATGATGATGCACGATCCGGTCGGTCTTAACTGTCAGTAACCTTGCCTTTGACGAAGCTGAAGATGCCTGAAACAAGGAAGAAATAAGAGATTTCCGAGGAGGAACCCGGTGGGAATACTCCAAAGCTCAAGTTAATACTCTTGAGAAGGCAAGGGAAAATAAGAGGCTTTAGGACCAGAAAGCACAAATATCACATACCTGTCCCGAGGTGCCGGGATATGACCCGGACTGACCCGAGGTGGGCTAGTCCGGGCTTCGCCCCTCGCGGGCTTGCTAGCTTCGGGATTCTTAGGGAGAGGTCGGGTTTCACCTCCCAGGAAGTGTGGGTTCCTTTTGGGGAGCTCGAGAGCTTGGGCTTCTTCTTGGAGAGCTTGGGAGCTTGGGCCTCTTCTTGGGATATGGCCATGCTATGTTACTATGCCGAGTTGGCGTTCCTGCCAGGTCACCCCGGTTTCTTCCACGTGTCGCACAGCCAAGGGGTCGGGCCAAATCTACCTCCATCAGTTAGTTGTGAAAATGAAAAATTATTTGGATTTTTGCAAAAAACATATTTGTTGAACATAAAAAACCAATTATTCAAAGATAAGGTCGTTAACCAAAGAGTAATTAAAAATATTGAGTAAATAATAATTTTTAGAAATTAATTTTATTAATTAATAATCAGTTTGAATTAAAACGGATAGTTTCAGCAAAGATTTTTAAGTAATTAAATTTTGCTATTAAATTATTATTATTATTATTATTATTATTATTATTATTATTATAATAATAATAATCATTATTATTATTAAGTAAATAATTTGTTATAATTAAGATTTTTAATTAATTCATGGAAAAATAATTGCTCTAATAATTCTTTTAGTTTAACAATATTGAAGAATTCATAGTTCTATAATTTAATTTTCACTAAATGAAATATTGATTGGAGAATAATAATAGTATTAATTATTATCACTTATAATAATAATGTATATAATTAACACTAAATATATATAATTATATTTATGCTGATATGAATTAACTAACCTAATAGAATCAGTTTCTCTGAGATTGCAAGCTTGTATGAGTTGCAAATATAGAGAAGTTTAGAAAAGTTCAGTTGACCTTCACTTAAAGAAGTCCAGTTAACCTTCACTCAGAGAAGTTCAGGAATGACATTTGTTTAAGCAAAAAAATGTCTAATTTTTATTATTATTTCTTTATTTTTTGAAAGATTATTTGTACTATAATATTTAATTATTATTGTTATTATTAAGTATTTAACTAATGATTTTAAAATACTTTATCCGATGCCGAGTATTCAATGAGACTCTACTCCTAATTTATGGTATGAATTTAGAAAATGCACACAAAATAAATAATTATTGTTAATTAGTAATTAACAATAATTATTATTAGTAATTAATAGCTCTACTTAATTAATTAGAGGTAGATATTATTAGTAATCAATAGCTGGAATTAATTAATTAGTTTAGTAGTTAACAGTAATTAATAGCACAGTTTACTTTTCTTTTAGGAAAGGATTGAAAGTGGGAGCTTCCCACTTCTCACAACTCTGTATGGTGGTGGGCTCCACTCTGCATGTTAGTGGGCTCTTTTCTTGAACTACCACTAATCAGAATTTGACACGTATCCATTTTGTTTAAATCTTTGGAATGACAGGTGTTTGAATAGAGGATAACCACATGTCTGGGGGAGGCTTTGGCTTGAAATCATTCCTTTTATATATACATACATATATATATGTATATATATATAATATTAGATATCAATAATTAATTAGTATTAATAATTAATAAATTTAATTAATTATTATTAGTAATTAATAAATGAGAAGTGTTTTTTGAATGTATATAAAGAATATATAAAATTAGAAGGAAGTGTGAAAACTATACATAAAATTTATGTGGAGCTCTATTTATGGGTTTAGAATCCTTGTTTCTGATCCCATTTCTATTAAGATTTTCTGAAAGTTGTTTTTTTTTTTAATTCTATTTGCCTTATTGTCGCTATCTAAATCATTGATCCGAAGTAATTCTTTCAGTTTTTGGCTCTTCTGTCTGTTGCGGAAGTTCGTAGTTTTGGGTATAGAGATCCCAACCTTCCTATTCTTATGCATTTAAACATTTCTTAGTAAATTAAAATGTGTACGAAACCTATAGATGGTGTTGTGTTTTCTGTTCTAAATATTGAAATTTTGTTTTGCTAGATCTCAAATAAGGTTCATCTCTTTTTGAAAATTGCGGGTAGTGTTAAATATTAGTAATTAATAGATTTAATTAATTATCAATAGTAATTAATAGATTTAATTAATTATCAATAGTAATTAATTAATTATAAATCATTAATTACTATTACTTTAGTAATTAACAATAATTAACATTGCATCATACAACAATTAACAGTAATTATTTTTTATTTAAAGACATTACTATTTGTAAAAATAATATATTTTTAAAATAGTAACTAAATGATTTTTAATAGTAATTATAATTTAAGCTATAAATAGCATAAAAATCAAATTTAATTACCAAAAAATACATTTAATTACATTTAGCAGTAATTAATTAACAATAATATATAATTATAATATATATATATATACATACATATTTAATGAAGTAATAACTTTTGTAATTAATTTAGTAAAAAATAATGAATAATTGAAAGTTTTAATATATATATATATATATATATATATATATATATATATATATTAGTTGTTTTTATAATTTCTGTTTTTGTAACATATTTATATTATTTTTACATTTTACTATTTTCTACCATCTATAAAATTTCCTATATTTTTTTATTTATTTGCAATTTTCTGTGTTTTTCTATAATTTTGGTGTTTATTCTACAATTTTTATTTTCTGATTTTGTTTTTCAAATTCTATAGTTTCTATAATTTGAAAATATATTTTTTTTTATTTTGGATGCAATTTCAATTATATTTGTTTAATTGTAAGTAAATAATTTTTAAATGGTAAGTAGCAGTAATTATAATTACAATATTTTAAAGTGTAATTAACAGAACTTTGATAAGTATAGTAATTTATTTTATAATTACAATATTTTAATACATTACTATAAATACATGAAAAATAATGTAGTTATTAATTAACAGTATTTACAATAATATTTAATTAACAACATTTATTAGAGTAATGTATTTATTAATTAACATTATTATTAATAATTACAATATTTTTAAATAAGTAACAATGTTTATTAAAAAATAGTATTATGTAACAATGCATCATACAACAAATAACAATAATTATTTTTAATTAGGAGAAATTTTCATTTAATTAAAAAATTTAACAATGCATCATACAAAATGAAGCGAGATGACCTGAGACGCAAGGACAATTGACACTAATCTGGAATACTTGAGCACGACTTTAACAACTCAATCACACAATTTAAGGCGAGAAAAATGGGCCCCTTTGGCCCCTATTTATAGCCACCGTAACTCAGGTTCAACGGCCAAGATCTACATGATCCAACGGCTCCTATGAAAATTGGCTATACGTCACTCAGGTCGAAATTAGTTGAGCGCGTGTTTTGATGTTCGTGGAGTTTATAAACGGCGTGATGTCCACGCGTACCTAATACGCAATCTGGGTCATTTCCTGGTCGAGCCAAGTGGTCATACAGTTATGACCGAAGATCCGCCCTCCATACCATCTAGACATCGTGCCAAATCCACCTGGGCCCGTCATGAACTCCCCACGCTGGGTCAGGACCCCTGGCACGAGGAGTGGGGGCAATTGATGATGGGTGATTTGGCCCAACCTAGTAAGTAAAGGACACGTGGACACAACCTGCCAACAGGATGACAACTCAGCAAGGAGAGCCTTGTCAGCAATTCGGGAGCCCAGGTGTTTGGGCACCTCAGTACCAAAGCCACTTACGACTCCCGAGTATCGAAGTGACACATAATCAACTCCAAAAGCTTCTTAGCGGACTTTGAATTTCCCGGATCACGCCGCATAACAACAGGCCTTATCCTCTCCCCGCCCGAATTGGAAGGTAACGATAAACTTCATTGACTGATACGTTACTCTCCTTCTAAAGCAAAATGGATCCCATCTACGCGGACCAAAGATCTCAGAGCCATTTCGTGAGACCCACGGCAGTTCAACTATATAATGGCATCGGCCCCCAAGACCCAGGTACGCACGATTAAGTGCATTCTAGCTCTCCTATTTCTCAAACTCTCAGCTCGCATATCACAATTACTGACTTAAACATCGAGGCGACCTCGCCGGGTTAGCCACCCTGAATTCTCTGATCCTCCTTTTCTTTACAGTTCGAACAACCTATTCAACAACAGACGTTCGAGCTGCCCTACAACTAAGAGCATCCAGATCGCGCACCATCTCCAATAACCAAGACGGAATCTCCATGACTTCAGTTTGCACACTTGAGTTTGACACACGATCTAGATGTCTAGATCAAAGACTCATTCTAATCGCCTCTAGACTAGACTGATCGCCCTATCGCCTCCCATCTTCTTCTCCTCCAGACTGATTACCAGTGTGGTGTCTCTCCAATACAACCAGCTTTTAGAGTTGCGCATAAACTCCCCAAAGGGTCCCGACCTTATACCCAAAGCTCTGCATTTTCGCCGAGCAACGGGGAGAAGAGGGTGAACGGTGAAGGAGTTTGATCGAGGATCTGGGAACTACGTAACACAGCAGACCGTTAGGCAAGCGAACAACTCTCGCACCCTCCAGCAAAATAAAAACCATGGGCTATCTTCGGAGAATCAAGTCATGGTAGTAAAACAAACTTACAGGCATATCCGCAAACGCCTCTCTCTCTTAACTTCATTGGATTTGGTCTGTGGTTACTCATCTGTTTCAACGTTTGGCTTCTCGAAGTCCAAACCCAGGACACCCATCTCTTCACTAAATTCCAAAACCAGTAAATTTCTTATTTTCTGCAATTCTCGGATCACCAAATATGGAAGAAATGGTGACCTCAAAGAAGCTGAAGCTATCTTTAATCGAATGCCCTTTAAAAACGTAATATCATGGACAGCCATGCTCACGGCATATGCAGAGAATAGAAAAACTGAGGAAGCCCGGAAATTATTCGATAAAATGCCAGAACGCAACACTGCGTCATGGAACGCCATGATCACGGCTTACATCCGAAACAATCAGATTTATAAAGCTTCTGAGTTGTTCTCACAGATGCCTGAGCGAAACCCCATCACACATGCTGCTATGATCACAGGTTTTATTCAGGTGGGAATGGTACAAGAGGCCGAGAAAGTGTACTTTCAAATGCCACCAATTGGGCGAGACCCTGTTGCTTCGAATGCCTTACTTACTGGTTATCTGAAGCTGGGTGAATTAGAAAAGGCAGTTAATGTTTTTGGTAACATGTATGAGAAAGACATCGTCTCTTGGAGCTCCTTGGTTGATGGATACTGCAAATGCGGTAGGATTATAGATGCGAGAGAATTGTTTGAGAAGATGCCAGAACGAAATGTGGTTTCTTGGACAGCAATGATCGGTGGGTACCTGAAAAAGGGAGATTTCGAAGATGGGTTAAGTTTGTTTTTGCAGATGAGGGAGGGTAGCGTAAAGGTTAATTCCACAACACTGACAGTAATTTTTGAAGCTTGTGCCAGTCTAAATAGATTTAGAGAAGGGATTCAGGTTCATGGATTGATATTGTCGATGGGTTTTGAATTTGATGTCTTCTTAGGAAATTCTCTTATCACCATGTATTGCAGATGCGGTTGCTTGGATGCTGCTTACAAAATATTTGAACTGATGGAGAAGAAAGACATTGTTTCTTGGAATTCACTGATTTCTGGTTGTGTTCAAAATGACAGAACGGAAGAAGCCTACATGCTTTTCAAGAAGATGCCAGACAGAGATGCTGTTTCTTGGACATCCATGATTGCAGGATTCTCGAATAAGGGGAAGATTGAGGAATCCGTCTCTCTGTTCAAAGAGATGCCTGAGAAAGATGACATTGCTTGGACTGCAGTTATTTCAGGATTTGTCAGTAATGGGGAATTTGAAAAGGCATTCCGGTGGTTCATCCAGATGCTTCAATGTTCAATCACACCAAATGCTCTCACATTAAGTAGTATGCTTAGTGCTTCAGCATGTTTGGCAACATTGAACCAAGGCCTGCAGATCCATGCCCATGCTGTCAAGATGAACATGGAAACTGATCTATCCATCCAAAATTCACTCATTTCCATGTATGCAAAATGTGGAAATGTAGATGATGCATATCAAATTTTCAAGGGCATTGATGCACCTAATCTTGTCTCTATAAACTCAATGATTACTGGATTTGCCCAACATGGATTTGGGGAAGAAGCAATAACTTTGTTCAAGAATATGCAGATGAAAGGCTATGAACCAAATGAAATTACATTCTTGGGTGTTCTTTCAGCCTGTTCTCATGTGGGGCTTGTGGAAGAAGGATTGGAATTCTTCAAGTCCATGAGCACTTCATATCACATTCAACCAGATCTGGATCACTATACATGCATGGTTGATCTTCTTGGCCGTGCAGGATTTCTTAAAGAAGCAGTTGATCTCATCAACTCAATGCCATTCAAGCCTCATTCAGCAGTCTGGGGTGCATTGCTTAGTGCAAGTAGGATCCACTTGAATCTTGATATTGCAAAACTTGCAGCTCAGCAACTTATTGAGTTGGAACCCAATAGTGCAACTGCTTACGTGGTCTTATCTAGCATGTATTCCCTTGTAGGACAAAAGAAGAATGAGGAAAACCTAAGGATCGCCAAGAAATTGAAAGGGATAAGAAAGAATCCAGGTTGCAGTTGGGTCATAATAAATAACAAGCTTAATTTGTTTCTTGCTGGAGATCAATCTCATGTAGAATTCAAAGAGATTAAATCTATGCTGAGAATAATTGGAGAGGAAATAAGAACTCTCAGGTCATATATCATCAGTTAATTCCTTCTTTAAGACTTAACCAAATTAGAAATCGTCCTTCACTAATCATAGTAAATCATGAGAAAATATAGTTTGGAGCCACACCATATTGATATATTGATTTCTTTTTTTTTTTTTTTACTTTTCTTATGTGGTTTACCTTTCTATATTTTTTTGTGCACCACTTTTGTGAAGGAGCATATGAAAAGTGAGTACGGATCTCCTTCCCACAATAACTTTGCCCACGTCTACCCACATATCGTAGTCATACATGGGAACATCTCATCCTCGTGCACAGGGAGATATTCTCAATACACGGAGGTGGTGTATTGTGGGTAGACGTGGGCAGAGTTACTATGGGTGGGAGATCCAGAGTGTTGACTTTAATCTTTCCTCTTGTACCCTACTCACCGAGGCATTTTTGGGTGATATAAACATCATTAAACAAACTGTGAAGAGAAGCACCAATACAGGAAATAACAGCAAGACAAAAAAGAAAAAAAACCGGAACAAAAAAAAAAGAACAAAATAATCAGCAATTCAGGAAACTTTCAGAGTGGCCTTTGATTATCCAACAAAACCAAACCTTATTGCTTTCCATGGTCTTAGTTTTTACATACCTATATCTTCAGTTAAATATCTGACATTTTTATGAGAACTTAATTTCCATTGTGGAATCTGAGGAATCCACTCTAAACAGGAATACAGAATCAAGGATCAACGTGCTGAAATTAAGAGGCTTAATTATAGAATATTCAATCTATTGCCTCTTGACACTAACAGTAATGAGTAAAGTATTGATATTGGGTATCATATCGAACAACTTGAATACGGATAAAAGATATGAAAACACATGATTATGTTAGGAAAATACATATAAATTCCATAAATACATTAATATCATTACATTTAAGATCAAAATAATTGCAAATAATATATAAATACATAGAAAATGTATATTATAATTAATATATCAAGATGCATAGATATCATATAATTTTATTTATAATGCATTAATCAAGAGTCCAAGACACTAAACATATGCACCTATTATATTTTAATTATTTTTGTTTTACTTTTTTAACTTTTTTATCATTAACAAAAATTCAGCTAAATATTAAATTCTCAAATGTAAATTAAAATATTAATTAATGATTTATAAAAATATAATGTTAACTTACAGTATATCAAATTTGTTAAAATTTATAATATACATATCATATAAAAATTCATAAATTTTATTTACTAAAATGATTATTCCATTATTAATATTTTATTTATATAATTTTTTAAAATAAAAAATCATTTTTTGAAATAAATGCATATTAATGGATTTGATAGATTCAATTTAATGTTATTTTCTTAAATATTTTATAACAATATTTTTATTTTTCATAAATAATAAATATGTCGTTCTTACTTATTAATATTAATTAATATTTTGTAAAAAATATATTTTTAGATGCATATCATGTGCAAATTTATAAATTTTAAAATATTAAAATGATTATTCTATTCTTAATATTTTATTTGTATAACTTTCTTGATATTAAAATTCATCTTTTTATATAAACAAGGATTTGCTAGATTATTTATTGTATTAGTTTATAAAACACTATTTTTGAATATTATTCTTTTGAAATTTTAGTTAAAGTTATTAAATATAAAAATATAAATTTAAGTATTAAAATGATTATTCTATTCTTAATATTTTATTTGTATAACTTTCTTGATATAAACATGGGTTTGATAGATTATTTATTGCATTAGTTTATAAATTAAATACTGTTTTTAAATATTATTCTTTTGAAATTTTAGTTAGAGTTGTTAAATATAAACATGTGATTTTTATTTAAATTGCATGTAGAGACGAGTTATAAAATTTATTTTATTTTATTTATTTTCCCAAGAATAAACGTGGCTTAATAGTTTAGAATTTCATTTAAGGTGCAAGGTAGCTAAACTGCTTTAGTTTATGGAGAAACACAGCGTATCAATGCATATCAATCTGTATCAATGTGTATCAACCAATACAATGCGATACAGGCTAATATACATTTGTATCATTACATAGGTCAATACTGATACGATATGCCCCGTATCGTGTCAATATTTAAATCCTTGACTAACAAGTGGCAGGAAAGCAATCCCTCTAGTTTGTACCTTCTTTATATTGGGCATAGGTAGTTAGCTAAACTGCTATAGTTTGTAACCACTCCGGATCTGCTACCCACAAACTGTTCCTAATCTCTACCCACAGGACACGACTGCCATGTATTAGGAACATTAAATGACGGGGAGATATTCCTAATGTACAGCTGTAATGTCCTTGCGCACCTTCTACAAGTCACCTGCAAATCACACTGCTGAAAAGATGAAAGAAGAGAAATCCGTTGAACAATGAACCTTGCATGCATGGCATGGATTCAGGCTGTTGTCACCTCCGTCCTCCTAAAATGGAAGGTTCTAACTATTATACCATTGTCTGAAGAACTTAAAAGAACCTCCGGAATAACCCACCAGATTCCATTAAAACTGCTGGCTTGTTATCTCCTACGTGAAAGCAATTGTGGTCTTCTCACCATGAATGACAGACATGCTCCTTAGATTTATTGGAGACCGAAAGGAAACCACACGAGGACAATACATATTTTGTTTAAATGGCAAAATTTATGGTGCAGAAACTGCACTGTTAACAAATGTAAAGTGAAAGCATCAGTTAAAGTCTTATTAATTTGATGCAATGAGAAGCTAAGCATACATGTGATGTCTTTTATACTTATTTGCTTTATTTCTGCACTGCACTTGGACTCTGAAAATCTCAATTGATGTCTGAAATTGCACTAAAGAAATGGAGAAAATTCTTCACACTGCTGACAAAATAAAATTCTCCAAACACAAAGAAAACTAGATAGAGGGCATATATATATATATATATATAGCAAAATATGACCAATCTCAGTACCAGATGTGTTGTCATGCTACAATACGTCAAAGAACACATAATTTAGGTGAAAGTACATGCTGTCATGTATTTACATCAAACAAATGATCCTGTTCTTGAAACTTGAGTTGATAGAGCATCTTCAAATTGCTCCCCATCATCGACTTTATCTGAGCTCAAGCAAGGTGGGATGTATGCCCTGAAGATAGATTCCATGTTTGGAGTCTCCTTCAATTCCCGACAGGCTACTTCCAAAGGTGTGGATTGGAAGGATTTGTAGAATTTCTTTGAACAGACAAATCCAAACATCAAGGACAATACAGGAAGGGGTATCAAAATAGGTGTATAGAAGAATTTCTTCACTGCAAAATAGCCAAGCATGGTAATTTGGTAGATGATCAAAGCTGCAAGAATACGTGAATGCACATGGGGCCACATCCGTCCATAGCTCTCATATGATGGGACATAAACTTTAAGAGCCTAGAAAAGAAAATGTGTCAGAAAAAGAAGGAACCAAAATAAACTTAGTAATCTTTTAGCACTACCAGGATGTTCATCCAGCTACCTGGAGGATCTGGTAAGCACACTAGGTGAGCACATTGAGTAAGGAACACAATCAGTATGTGATACCTGTCCCACAAGTGTGTCCAAAGCACATGGGTGGGCTCGGGGGCTCAAGTGTGTCTTTCATTTCAATGATCCAGAAGAATGAATCTATCTAGCCCCACCTCTAATAGGACTTCAAAATATAATGTTCCCCATTAAGCAAGTGGTCAGCTTTTAATCCAGTTCTATCATACAGCTAAGAGAGTTTTTTCAGTTAGAATGACTAATTTACAACAACATAATCACAGAACCATAATTAAGGTAATGTGTACATGGTTTTGACTCTACAATTTAGGACTTCTATTTTTGGTATAATAGTGCACTGAGTTATATACTCACCTGGTTCCGAAGAATAAGCCATCCAAGGCCAAAGTAAAGCACGCCAAAGGGAATGATGATAGGAGCTATTACAGAGTAGCAGAGGACAATTATGATGATTAGCATATCACTGGGAACCCTTGTTGCATAACCAAGGTCTCCAGGAGCCCAAGCTTCTTTTAACTCTGCTTCAGTTTTACAAAGAAATCTCCTCTTAAGGTGGTACATGACTAAAGGAACTAAGCGGGACAGCTCAAGTCCATAGCCCACGAAGAATCTGAGACCCAAAGACAGAAAATAATGGTCAAAGCAATAAGAAATTTTCGAATCTAACCAGAAAAAAAAAAAAGAAAGGAAGAAAAAATCCATTAAGTGAAGCACCACTTGTGTCAGAACCTAAGTCTTGCTCTATAACAATACAGTACTTGATTTATGGATTTCGTTTTATAAATGGAACCAATAAATTTTTAGCAATAATTTGATATATGCAACTAAAAGAAATTAGCATAGCTAAATATAAAAGGTAAAATAATTACCACCAAGGATAATAAATGTCCATGGGATCATGGTATAGTGAGGTACCAGAGGTCTGTCATAGGGGCCTTTTCATATATCATGAGTCATCTGATTTACAAACTGTAACTAATGCACATAAATCTTATACATGGGGTCATGTCATCATCTACCTATTTTTCACTATATGCCTGTTTTGTAATGATCCAATTATCTTCCCTCTACAATAAGGGACCTTTCATTGGCATCTTCGACCATTGAAGGTGCCTCTATGATGCCCAAATCAACATCATTTTTCATAGGAATGTATCCTAAAGCATTTGAACATGCCTATATGATGCCAAAATACAGATGTAGACATGAATACAGATAAGGGAAACAGGGATATGACACTTATATCCCATGTAATATGCTTATATCATATTTCTATATCTAGTTTTGAATCTAAATGACATTTGCCAAAATTTATGTCTTGTCGGATTATGTCAAGTTCTTAACATGTATACAATTTTTTAGAGTATGATAATTTAAAACAAACTATAATTTTACATATTTTAATAGTTTTGATTCTATGGAATACATCTAGAAGTGTCCATGCAGTACCCAGTGCCGTATCTAGCTAGTAAGTATAGTGTCTGACAACTTGTACACTAGGCATACAGGTATCTAGGTATCATAGAGGGTGGAGTGTATGGCCAACCTGGTAGATCCCATATATGATGGACGTCTGGATCAGCTACAAGATCCCACCACATGGGAGGAATAGGTGGATTCATGTAGGAAAGTACCCTATGTTACTGAACCAGTGAACAATTTTTCTATAGGCCAGGCCTATTTAGGGATGTACTTCCAGGCACATTGGGCCAGCAGTAGCAAGTCCGGCCTATTTTTTAAATAGGCTTCTATAAATTTTCCAAGCTTAACTCATGAGCCCATATAAACTATGCTGGCTGGGCCAGGCCTAAAAGCCCATTGCACCAGCCAAGAACATTTGTAACCCTAGATCATGTGGTCTACAACAATGTAGACCCCCAATACTACATACTAGCAGGGTCTTTGATGACCACAATAAAAACAAAGATTATCAACTGACTTTCTATCTATTTTGGTATGGGGATGTCTCTGCTAATCCCATATGGTATAACCCAGACAGAAATTTTCATGAAGAAAACAGAAAACTGATGCCCCCTGGCTTGTATGTGTGCTTGGATCTCCTACCAACAAAAAAACATTCCAACATGATATGTTATCTGCACATCTCATACATGGTTGGTCCCACCTTGTCAAGTTTTGACAAGCATGACAACAAGTTTTGACTCTAAAAGCAGCCACCTTGTCCAACAAAAAAAAAAAAATGCCAAAGGTTAACTAGTCTACCCCTCCCAAGAAACATTTTAAAAGGTGGAGATGGCATGATATGTTATCTGCACGCACATCTCATACATGGTTGGTCCCACCTTGTCAAGTTTTGACAAGAATGACAACAAGTTTTGACTCTAAAAGCAGCCACCTTGTCCAACAAAAAAAAAAAAAAATGCCAATGGTTAACCAGTCTACCCCTCCCAAGAAACATTTTAAAAGGTGGAGATGTGGCATGAGGTGTTCCACTATTTGGAGGTGTGGGGTGTAGTTCAGAACACAAGAGGTGTAAGCCTCCCAAGAACAAGGAGGGTGTAAGACCCTTTAAGAGGGGGGGGGGGAGAATAAGAAGGAGGAGGGTCTCATCTTATTTTTCTTTGTTTCTTTTTTATGAAAGATTGTCTTGTATTAAGAAGAAAGAAGATGCATAACACTAGCTGAAAGGATGGAGGTCTTTCCCTTCCATTCCTTTTCTTTTCTTTCTTTCCTCCTTTTTTTCTTCTCTTTCTTTCTTTCTTTTTCTTTTCCTTTTCTTCCCTTTCTTCCTTTTTCTTTTCTTTCTTTTTGTACAAGGTTTATAACCCTCTAGCACGCCTCATGCAAAAGGTGCTTGAACTTTGAGATGTACACATCAGAGACATCAACACTTCTGGCACCTACAAGTGTATGCTTCCCACGCCTTATAAAACATTGCTCCCAAGACTCTAAACAGCCTGGATTGCTCCCAAGACTCTAAACAGCCTGGACCATCACTGGGTAATGGCCCTTTTATATAGCTCTGTAGAAAGGACACAAAATAAAGAGGAAAAAAAAGATATAGGGAAATTAAAGTATAAAACTATAGGGCATCTGTGATACATCAAATTTGGAACATGTTGCATTTCAAACCTATATTTCAGACTCCTGATTTCTGAAACCTTTCAAAATTCAAGGTTCTTCATGTTAATTAATAAGAAAAAATTGAAAGTAGTTTCTCTTCAGGTGCAGAGTAAACTACAAGGAAGAAAAGGATATAAACTTACTTCAAGGCCACAAAAGTCAGAAAGAAGGTCGCATTTCCAGGTAGGCCAGTCCCAAGCAAGGACACAATATTGTTTGGATGCTTCTCAATATCCTTGAATGTTTGGAAGAGTGTTCCACCAACTGTTACTCCAATAAAAACATTTAATACAGTGAAATAGAAATACTTTCCTGAGGCAGCTCTCACAGCATGACTCTCAGAAGGGATCCCTTCAGCCTTGGATAGAATCAGAAGAAACTTTGGCAGCAAGGCTAAGAAAACTATAAGTGCAATCTGAGGCAGATAAGCTTCCAATACCGTCTTAATTGCATTTTGGTTCACAATTGGCTTCAAGAATGGTAGAAGCTTTCTCAGATTCTTCAAGGTTGTTAATGCAGAGATAAACCCAATTGGGATCATGTAGAAAAATATGGTTAATGCCACAATCACATAAACAATATCCTGCCGAATCTGTCTGTCATAGAACTTCATCTTAAGATTACTCCATATTACTTGGCGGGGTTCAGGGGCTTCTGTCACTGTCCATGTGTCAAGCATTTGGGCATGAAGTGACTGAGCTGCAGAAGCTGCAGCCAACCTTCTATTAAAGAAGACAATGGCAGCAGCTTGCTGTTTCTCTTTGAGGGTCAGCTTCTGTTCAGACTCTAATTTTGGGATAAGTTCATTGATCTTCTCATTGCAGTAATTTATCGTGTCTACCTTTTTACCTATAAGACCAAGAAAACCAACTCTGTTTGTTGGTCTTGTTCCTTCTGGTTTGCCTGTTGTTTTAGATTCTGCAAATATGGCTTCAGCACGGGCAAGCTTCTTTCTGTACCCTTCCAATTCTTCCCAAATTTTGTTGACCTACAGAAAGTCAAACAAAGAAAAACCACAAAAGAACTTCAAGCAATGCCCAAGACACCAAACTAACAACTTCATCAACCAGGCAAGCAACTGACTTAACAGATGATTTTAGATTGTCAGAATAAGCATGAAAACAAGATTAGTGATCTATTATCATGCTTACAGTCCTGGCTCTACTTTCAGACAAAATGATCATGGGCAGGGATGTTAGGGATGAACAACTTCAAGCAATGCCCAAGACACCAAACTAACAACTTCATCAACCAGGCAAGCAACTGACTTAACAGATGATTTTAGATTGTCAGAATAAGCATGAAAACAAGATTAGTGATCTATTATCATGCTTACAGTCCTGGCTCTACTTTCAGACAAAATGATCATGGGCAGGGATGTTAGGGATGAACAACTTGTACTATCTAAGAAATAAATGCCTAAGCTTGGTTTTGCAAGAAAGTTTAAAATAAATGTATAAGCTTCCAAAGTTTGTTGTGCAAGCGGCATGACAGACATTGCTTGAAGTTCTTTTGACTAGGTAATGTTTATAAAATAAGATTATGAACAAAAAATTGACTTGTTATGTAAGTAGTGTCTTGAACTAAGAGATATTATAGTTTTGTTGACCTACAGAAAGTCAAACAAAGAAAAACCACAAAAGAACTTCAAGCAATGCCCAAGACACCAAACTAACAACTTCATCAACCAGGCAAGCAACTGACTTAACAGATGATTTTAGATTGTCAGAATAAGCATGAAAACAAGATTGTGATCTATTATCATGCTTACAGTCCTGGCTCTACTTTCAGATAAAATGACCATGGGCAGGGATGTTAGGGATGAACAACTTGTACTATCTAAGAAATAAATGCCTAAGCTTGGTTTTGCAAGAAAGTTTAAAATAAATGTATAAGGTTCCAAAGTTTGTTGTGCAAGCAGCATGACAGATATTGCTACAGCCTTGATCTGAAACTCAAAACTATAATATCTCTTAGTTCAAGACACTACTTACAAAACAAGTCAATTTTTTGTTCATAATCTTATTTTATAAACATTGCCTAGTCAAAAGATAAATCCAGGGATGACAAGTATGGGAACATGTATTTGAGTCTAAGAGCACCCTCTTTGTGATAAAATGACAAAAGGTTAGGTTATCCAAATCCCACCCCTCTCATCCAGTGACCAGGACTAGGACTAGCATTGGGTAACACCCTTTTCTTTCTATGTTTCAAGCATGCATAAATTCCCTGATTTTCCAAAAATATATACCAAAACATATGATATCTACATGGGTATCTCTGCATTTTTTCTTAGACACTCAAATAACAGGTCAGACACAAAGAAATATATTAGTATTCTTAATGCATAGCAAAGTAGTGCACAAAAGGGTCACAGTATCACACCTAACAAAATTTATCCATTTGCAAATGTTTGTATTGCAAGGTTCCTCAACCTCTTCACTTTCTTTCTCTTCATTGACCAAAGTTACATTGTGAAGATATATATGCTTGGGATAATACAAACAATCAATATAAAAATAACAAATTCCAGAAGGGTAAAACTGCAAAGAGTCCTGAAACAAAATAGTATGCACAGAAACACTGAACCATTACAAGCAAAATACCCAACATTTATTGAGAATTGAAGATTAATACCTCTTTATTGTCTGTGACAACCATTGATCTGTAAAATGTGTCTGGATGAATCATTTTGAAATACGAGTCAACCTGTTCTTTGCGAGTTTGGCCTTCAGAAACTGGAGGTATGTCCCTCACAAGAATGGCAAATTGCTCAGGTTTCACATGTGGAGCCATCAAAGCAGCAGCTCTCAGCTCGGAAACATGCTTGTATGCCTTCCATAACATATAGAGTGTAACAAATGAAACCCAGTAGGTTCCAATGACAAATGCCCACAACCTTGGACTTTTTGCCTAAAATAAATAATAGTAAAATCAATACAAAATGCTGGGGATGTGGTGAAATCTTAGAAAGCACTGTGTCATGACTCATGAACAGCCATGGTAAAATCCTAATCTGTTTTCCAACGCAGGACCTCATATAATCCCACCAGTGGAGAATGTAAAACATGCTTTGATGTTTTACAAAATACACCAAAAACATTTCAAACATCAACCACCATGAACTGCAGAATCCTTGGTGTTGAAAACTACAATCAAACCTTCATGAAGTAGTCCCTGTAGATATAACTTTACATTTACTTCCAGATTGAGGACTAATGATGGTTATGTAAAAAGAACTTCATGCCAAAACAGTTTGAAAAGAAAAAGAGAAATCAAAAGCTAAGATCCTTATAAAATTAGACTTTAGGTAGGAGCACAGAATTTTTGACAAGTTGTACTTGTAAGGAAACAAATGTGGACTCAATGGTTTATATTACACAGAAAAATAATATGGGCTTTAACAGTCATTCCTCGGTGCCTAGATGTGGACATTAAAGAGTGCTTTCTCATACTGATGTGGAATCTGAATTATCAAATCAAAACAGTGAAGCTTGGCAACAGCATAACTATACTGTATAAATTGGTTACACTCTCTTCAGAATACTAGAAGTCTGTATCTTTCCACTAATGAATGAGGAGAATACAGAAGTTCATAGAGAAGGCCACATATCTTACTTTGACATTTCCCATGGATAGCTTCTCAAGGCTGCTGAAGTTCCCATTACCGGTTGTCTGAGTTAAGCCCACACTATCATCAGTTGCAGCAACTGGTACAAGAGCCGGGAGCAGCACCAGGCCAGATAAAACCAATATACCCAATACTGGAACATAGATTTACAATTAGAAAGGACCAAATGACCATGTATACAATTTTTCAAACACAAAAGCATATCATATAAGCATTTATTTGGTATGCTCATAATTGTTTTCAAAATCATAACTTCTTACTCTGCCCTTTATAACTAAACCACTGACTCCATAATACAGAACAGAAGGTATTTATTTCTAAAATATATCTTTTGTCTTTCTCTAAATACTAATTTATTTTTATAAACAATGGTAAATATAAATTTTAACTAGATTGAAGAAAGCCTCCCTGCCATCCATAATGGTAGATATCAGAGTACAACATAACAGCAATTAGCTGGCTAAACCTTTTTCTTTGATCACACACAGAAGCTGGTCTCTAGTCTCTACAAATACTGATATTACTTTCATATTGTTGAATTCGTTTATTGTCCCAGATTGCCATGTAAATTCGTTTCCTATATCATTATTCTTTATTCCTTGTTGACAGGTGTATAGCTATGATACACATACATTTAAGGGCATGCCTGGAGGTGTAAAGCAAGGAATTTAAGCTACAAATTGAAGTGTCTGATACAACAGGGCACCAGGTACATGTGTTCAGATTATCAAACAATGTACGTCCATATATATGCTGTCTTACAATTGCCAGCCCCAAGCTTGGATAAAGGAGTGTTGTGTCAGGTTGGCAGTTGGCTTTAAAACTTTGGCAAAACTCTTATAAATATGGATGTTGAATTGTCTTTTCTTGCTCATGCTAGAGTCCCCAGAAGCAACCCACTACACCTTAACCCAAGTATTGTAGAGATATAGTGCAGTAGTTGTGTGGTCCCATTTCATATTTATGCTTGTTTTATGTTATTTATTCTATTTCTTTCTCATATAGACAGCAGGGGTATTAGGAATCCAGATTTCCTACTCACTTTCTCTAGCCACACCCTACCCACAGTGCATCGCAGCCACACATCTCACAATACAAGATGGTGACGTGTGGCTGCAATTCAAGGCAGGTAGAGTGTGGGTGAGAGTAGTGGGCAGGAAATCCAGTTTGGGGTATTAATGGAATTGTACTCATGTTTTATTTACAAACATATAAATAGAAGAATGGAGCAGTATGACCCTTTTTCTCATTCTTTTTCTCCCCTTCTCCTCTCTTCTCCTCTCTTCTCCTCTTCTATTCTTCTCTTCCTTATTGAATTCTCATCAAAACATAAATCAGATATAAATCCTTTCAGCCAAGTGTACGAAATGAGCAAAGGTATGCTAGGGCATTCCTTAGAAGTGACACACACAACATTGCCCAGTTGTGGTGAGAAATAGGCAAGAGCTTCCACACCATAATTTAACAATGGATATGGCACTGAATGGAAAAACAGGACTATGTCACTCACCCCATATAGTTGGGACAAGGCTTAGATAATAATAATATGGGGATAATGAAATGAAATTATCCAAAATTCCAAGTATTATACAGAAATTCTAAGGCATTTGTAGATTATACAGTTTATTACTAAAAAAAATCATATTATTTGATATAAACAAACAAGCAGAGAAACCATGTGCATTACATGTGATATAGAAAGACAAGAACTGCTTTATGCAGCCTTTCTGCATGCATCAAAGCCTCCTATAGAAGTGAGATATCCACTCTACATAGAATGGATAATACTTGTTAAGCAAAAAGGACCTTCCTGAGGCTGAACTGATTTTTTCTTCTGTATATTTCCTTTATGCAATGAACAGTTGGAGTCCTACCATAGTACTGAAGATATGGTACCTCTAAAACTGATAACCAATCTACTGGTATTCACGCAATTTGCTGATTGGTTAATTTTTTTTTCAGGTATGATATCTTTATGGTACCATAGAAACTATCAAACAGTTGAGAACAAGAAAGTAAGGTCAAATTTGTAATTCCACAAGAGTAGCTATGTAACTAGAAGATAATAAATTGGGGCCATGCATATCTCTTCTCCAATGTAACTCCTACCACCATATTTGTCTCCCCTCTTATCTAACTCTCTCACATTGAGTAGTGCACTTGCCTCTTCTAGTCATTTATTCTACATGCATCTTATGGAAAATATTTAAGACAATACAGGAAAATTAGAAAATATTTAAGATACATATCAATTTCTACTTTCATTTATTCCAGGAATTTTCAGAATTTCATCCAAAATTTTTCAGTCAAATATCTCACTACTTTGTTTATAAAGTTCATGGACCCAGTTGTTATTCTTAATTCTGTACTTCTTGTTCATTTTCTTATTTCATTTTTTTCCTGCTCTCTTTTTTCCTCTTCTTGTTTTTGTAAACCTAGTCCACCCTAGCCCACAGAGGTTTATTAGAAGGAACAAGAATATCTGCAAATTGATCTTCCACATGGAAGACAACTTCTTTGAAGGAATTATATGCAACAACTATCACAGTTAAGAAAATCCCAAGGAAATATCAAAGATAAGAACTGAATTAAGCACTAGAAACATCTTAATTAAATATCTGGAAATGCCTAGAAATGCATAAGAATAGCTTTTAAATTGCATAAAACATGTAATAAATTGGTACTTCAAAGAAAAATGAAATATTTTAATGTTTTAAAGAAACAGTTGCCATTAAAAACATCTTATTTAACAATTGAAAGCCGCTTTTTTAATTCCCATCATGTCGTCAAACTCAGAAAGTCCCAGAAACGCCAAGAGAAAGAAAACGAACTACTAAGGCTGTGTTTGTTTTGATAATAAAAAGAAAGAAAGAAAGAAAGAAAGAAAGAAAAAACAAGAGAGAAACAGAAAGTTGAAGAAAAATTCTCAAGATTTCATAAATTTTGTGAAGAACTTTCCCTCAACCTTATGTTTCTCTCTTATTTTCTGTCAAACCAACCATGGCCTTAGGAGAGGAGTGAAACACAAAAAGGGCGATTTTCATAAAAAAAACAATCATAAAAATTATAGGACAAAAGGGAATTCATTAAGAAAAAGACTCATCCTTAGAATCAACTAAAACAGAAAAGAAAACTGTAGGATATTTTCATAAAAATTATATAAAGAACAAATAAATAAATAAATATAAAAAAGGCAAGGAATCTCTCAAAATCCATCTCCCAAAATAACAGAGCAAGTTAATACGTAATTTGGTGCTCAGAAACCGACACAAAAAGTATGGTGACGTCTGCTCAGAAACCGGCAACAACCAGCACCTGAACCAGAATAGAACAATTTCACCAAGAAGGAAAAAAAGAAGTCATCCAGACCCATCAATTAAGAAGAAAAATTGCAGACAAACAGAAATAAGAAAGAGGCATGGTGAACCAAGGAAGAAACAGAGACTGACCAGTGCTCAAGAAGACAAAGTACACGGCTGTGTCGACGCCGGACATGGAAATGACGTCTGCTTCAGTGGAAGTAACAGCCTCTCGAATCCAAGTAAATGGGTTCCTCGACCTCGGTCCCTCGCAAGGCTCCAACCCTTTGAGAATTCGGTTTGGATAGTAGACAACATTGTTGGAAGGTTTACTGGAAAGCCATGAGAACAGTAGCATCAACACCACGAATATTATAAACGAAGTACCCAGAGACGTCAGAAATGAATTTAAATCCATCTCTTCTCTCTTCTAATCCCCCCTTCTTACTCTTCTCCTCTTCTCCACTTCTCTACTACAGTACAGCTTTAAGCTTTTGTTCAGTTGTGGTGGGTGTAAACCTCGTAAAGCAATTCCTTTCTCTAAAAACCAGGAAAACTAGCCGTTGATTTGTCCATTAAAGCAAGTAAAGTAACGGTTAAGTGTCGGGAAATTAAAGGAGGAGACCGAAGGGCCATGGAGATTGATGATGATCACTGTTTTTATAAGCCATTTTTTCTGGAGAAATTAAAATAAAATAAATAAAAAAGAAGAAAATATCTGTCGAGACTCGAGACGATGATTGATGAGCTGTTCTCTGGGGCCTACGTTACCCTTTTCTTCTCTAATTATTTTATTTTATTTTATTTTTAGTAATCAAGAGAAGCCAGATCCAATGAATCACAATCTTTTAATTTTTGGTTTTAGGAAAAGGATCGAATTCGAACAGACTCAACAGAGAGACACTCAGACACAGGAGTTGAGCGTGAAGTCCAAATGACGAAAATGTCCTTCATGTATAACTGTCAAACCACCTAATATGACAGAAATGCCTTTCATTTTAAACTCAACTGGATAGTATTGCCTCTGGTACATTTCTTCTGAAGCAACCATACAAGGCCCTGAGAAGAGGAAGGACTAATGTCAAGAAACAGTTATAGGGTCAAATTACCGGTTCATCCAGGGAAGTGAGCCGACCACTCTTGTCACTTGTGGATAATTGGATTTAGCTAGTTTGCCAAATTAGTTAATTAGAAAGTTGAACAGACCGGGAGGAGGGTTTGGGAGTTTTCTGCATTTTGAAGGATATTTATGTCATTTAATTATGGTACTTTGTCCATTTTAGGAGAGCTAGGACTTGTCTTTTTCGCTGTGGCTTTGGAATGGGAGCTGTCCAGCAGTGTTACGTGGCAGTTAGAAAGCAAATCGCTTCCTTTCCGAGTTAAACACGTGTCGCCATCTGTCTGCTCTACCGACAATCATATCGCAAGAATAAGTGAATAATAAACAAACGGTGCCTTTTGGTCTTACTATTTAAGTAATTAATTAGATTAATAATATGGTTCGAAAGACAGAAGTACCCTTATGGTCCCACCTTTCTTGCAATTATAACTAATGGTTCATTTGTCTTTTCGTTTGTCCAAAATGAGATATGAATCTTATTTATTGTTGCTTTCTTTCAACTAATGATACCCAATAAAAAACGAACACGTGTAGGAACGACAACGTCAGGAGCAGGTACGTCACCGTCGAGCAAGACACGGACGCGACACGTGAGAAGATAGGGAATGGTAGTTGGAAATTGAGATATTTCTGGTGTCAGGTCCGGTCACTGACTCATTGTGTGTACATAATAAATGGAACCTACATAACTAACATAAGTAAGAAAGGGACCACGTCAGCAATGTTTAGATGGTCGGTATGAGAATGGAACGAGCGACGGAGAGAGTCAGTGTCTTCTCCTAACGAAACCCGTCCCAAGATCGAAAATCTCACCTTGAGATGAGACCGGGACCCAGTTATCATCCACCTTAAGAGTGTAAGACTGAGCCCACCCTTCCTGAGAGTCTGAGACGTAGGTTGTCAACTCAGGTTGGAATCGTGTTGGAACGCATTCTAGTGGAAACAGATCCGGACTCTGCGAACGAACAGGAGGGCTCAGAGAGTGAACGCGAGTGAGAGGCCAGTTGTCAGTATCGCTGCTTGGTGCTTGCTTCGGATGATAATCCAACTGACAGGCCATCAACCAGGAGATGGCGACACGTGGCAATAATAATTATGTGGATAAGCACAGCAATTGACCAGTTGTGAATTGAAAAGGAGGAGAGAATAGTGGGCCAACGTGACGAGGTTGTGGATGTGGGAATGCCAAAGTTTCTCGTTAGGTGAGGAATAATAGATAGTGCCGTGACTGCCCTCTGCCGGTGTGCCGTGTCCTTATGGCCCACGGTCTGGACACGGGAGACGGAAATTTGGTTTGGTACGTTGCGATTCATGTGACCAGCGAACTTGGATTCAGTCCTCACTCCTCAGTCAATTGCAGCTGTGCATTTAGGATATCTCCCCATATACAAATAGACATTTCAAGCACACGGTTGCAAGTGGCCGTGAGTAACCAGAGCCTTGTAAATACTGAATCTAATCTCGTGTCCAGCACACTGTTGCTGGGTTCTGGTTATACACAATAGGCTCCACATTTTTTAATGCAGTGTTTGAAAGGAAGAAAAACCGATGCATGCTTTTCCTTCCATTCCCTAATTTTTTCCTTTAAACCAAACACAGCGTATAAGTAGATATCAATGAACTTTTAGTTTCGCCGGATGAAAGCGTCAGACCACCTCTTGAGTTTTATTTCCAAATCCCAAATTATAAACCATAAACATAAACGCTTAAAACCATTAAATCTTAGGCGCCTAAATCTTAAATCCTAAAATCTAAATTATAAACCTTTAAACCCTTAAGTTGTATTTAGTTTGAAGGAAAAAATAGGAAAAGAAAGGAAAAGGTAGGGAAATCATCAAAATCCAAAATTATTTTAGATTTATTAAATCTTAAACTCTAAATCGTAATCTTAAAAGTTAAATCCCAATTCGAAATCTTGAAATCCTAATTTAGAAAAAAATACAACTTTGAACCCTAAAATTTAAGTAAGAATAAAGTGCATTGGTGGAACACATATCTTAGGAGCAAGTATATGGGTTCAATTTTGCTAACATAGGGGGCTAAAAGAGAAAATCATGACTTTAGATTACTACAGCGGCCCCACCAATAAATCACTTCATCTATTAATGGTGAGACCATGGCAACCAGTTGGCATCTCTTACCAATAAAACGTGTTCCAAACCCCTACCAATTTCATCTAACACGGTACATCTCATAATGAGACTGGGATCCACCATAAAATAGGACCTACCATAGATAAGATGTGTGGTGTTAGATCATATTGGTAGGGGGTTGGCATCTGTTCTATTGGTAGGAGATCTGGACACCATGGCAACAAATCAAAGGCTTTGACTTGGTTGTTTCAACGCATACCTAGACATATAGCAAATGTGGGTAGCAAGTGGATGCCACTATTACATTGACATGAATAGGGAAAAGAATCATTGGGGCAGCTTCCATTTATTTGATAAATGGTGCCATGTCATTGTCAAATCAGTATTTATCCCATCATGTGGATTCTATTCTGTTCGTAGGCATAAGTATTGATAAAAGTTGCTTTTGATTGATGTACACACCAATCGTAAACTTACTCCAACAGCTAAGCACTTATTTACTATTCCACTGAAGTGGCACCTAGTGATCAATAAATCCCATAAAAATGTTTATCAACTAATTTTTTCTCGGTTTTGAAGACAAATCAAGTGTAAACGTTTATTTAATAAGCAAAATTCATGAAAAACAGTTATTGGATCAAACTTGAATAGTGGGCACCGAGGAAAATGCAATTAATGGTGCCATGTGTCAAAAGCGGATTGGTAGGGTCATATGACATGTATTAAATAACACCATGTGCTAGTCTCGCTAATTTCCTTAGGCGAAAATCTCATGTATAGACTAGAGACATGTAGTACAGAAACAACGGCAATAACAATGAAACAGTATTAAATTGCAGTTATTTATACCTCTGTCCGGCTGGGGGATGGAGTCCAGCAACGTTTTAAAAATCAATTTGGAATCAAACCGTTTTAGCCACCGGTTTTTGATCAACGGTTTGACCATCTGATTTGAATAAACAGTTTATTCCAATAAAAAATAAAAGAAAATAATTAAAATAAACTGTCGAATGGATCGACGATTCAACTGCCCGAGTCAATAAATTGCTAATCAATTCAATGGTATTTTGCTAAAAATCAGGTTTACGGTAAAATGAAACCAGTTGCCCAAATGGTCCAACCGTCTAAGATTGTCAAGAATAGCAAAAAAAATATTGTGAAAATGATACTTTGGCTATATTTTTGCCCCTTGTTTAAGAGGATGTTGCGCAGATTAAAGCATTAATTGGTATAATTTTTCTATCAAAATTTCTGGTGTCAATAAGATCAAAAAGATTAGGGCTGTAGTAAAGCCATCGGATCAAATTTGCATAGGATTATCCAACCAATAAAATTTTGGGTAGGGGCATATTCAAATATGATTCGATAAGAATTTGATGAATCTGAATTCAATCCGATGTTCATGTAAAACAGAGGAAAAATGTTTTTTGATTTTAGAGTTAAACAACAGAGGTACCCCATCACCCAACTCAGGTGTAAGTAGGATTTGATCTCAAGTCTTCACTATAATCAGTAAGAAACCTTACCAACCAACTGATTGGCAATTTGTCAAAGTAAAAATATTGAAACACTTAAAATATGTATAACATACAATAAGTGATATTATCGAAAGAGAAACATTGGGACTCTAAAACATGTAATCAACAATATCGGTTATCTGATTTAAATCCAATTGTATTAAAATATCATCGGATTTATATATAATTGGTATAAATTTATAAAATTAAATATAAAACAAAAATCACCTTAAATGGTGAAAATTAGTTTATTTGAATCACATATCCAACATAATTCTAAAGAATTTTAATAGCAAAAAGTTATCAGATCGGATTAGATCAAGCAATGAGCTTAATAAATTTAATTGAACATATTTTTAGATCCAATTATGTATAAACAGATATCTGTGTCCAAATTTAAATGAATTGGATTAAATGTAATTATTTGTGGCCCTGCCAAAAATAGTTTTTTTAAAGGACAAAATTAGGGTGCAAATGAGTTGACTGTAAATTCTGGTTTATTTTTCTTAGCGGTTTGACTTTGTTTTAAGTGTTTGTGGAGTAGTAATATGCGGTACAGAATCATGTGATCTCCACTATACATGAAAGATAATGAATAGGGGAGTAAGATGTAATTTTCAAAAATGAGGTTGAGGTATGCTCTTAAAATTTTGCTCTTGAATTTCGAAATTAAGCAGGCTTGAGGGGGAGTACTAGTAGGATGGGTGACCAACTCACCATCTAGAGGACCTCATGTTGCACCCCTATTTTAGTTTAACCAGAAAAAAAAAAATGCTTTAGTATAAAGATGTCACAAGAACATTTTTGAATTGTTTAGGAGGTGATTTTGTTTTAGCTATTAAGCATTGAATGCCCACAACCCCATCAATTTTATGTATACTCACATGTATTATTGAACAAAATCAATACACTATTATTT